CTCACCACAACGCCTGGCTATTTTTTGGTTGTGGCCCTCATTGTTTGGCAGGCCTGGCTGGATTCGAACCCACCACCTTAGGTGTATGTGGCTGGTGCCTTAGCCACTTGAGCCACAGGCACCAAGCCAAGAGTTTCACTCTTGCCTCAGGCTAGAGTGCCGTGGCATCAGTCTAGCTTACAGCAACCTCCGACTCCTGAGTTCAAGTGATCTCCTGCCTTAGCCTCCCCAGTAGCTGGGACTACAGCTACATGCCAGAGTGCCTGGCTAGGTTTTCTATTCTTAGTAGAGACGGGTGTCTTGCTCTTGCTCAGGCTAGTTGTGAACTCCTGAGCTCTCAAGCACTTCTTCTGCCTGGGCCTCCCAGAGGCATGAGCCACTGCACCTGGCCTCCTTTCCATTCCATTTGATTTCATTCCATTTCATTCTCTTCTGTTCCATTCTGTTCAGTTCTATTCTTTTATATTCCACTCTGTTTAATTCCATTATATTCAATTCTATTACAGTCCTAATCCTATTCCAGGTTTAAAACTATTCTATTTCTAATTCTAATTTTAATCCAATTCTAAATCAATCCTACTCTAATACTATTCCATGCCACTCTATTCAATTCTATTCGTATTTTATTCATATTCATATTTTATTCTATTGCAATTCTAATCTTATTCTAGATGTACTTTTATTCTAATTCTACTCTATACTAACTCGATTCCATTCTTTTCTATTCTATTCCATGCCATTGTATTCTATTCTAATTCTTCTCTAGTTTTAGTTCTAATTCTATTTCTGTTCTAATAGTTATTTCCTTTCTGTTCCTATTCTCATCCTTTTCCTATTCTAATTCTATTCTGTTCCATTCCATTCCATTTCATTTTATTCTAATTCTAATCCTAGTTGAGTTTTAGTCCTTTTGTAATTCTATTCTAATTCTATTTCTATTCCTATTCTAATTCTGATTCTATTCTGATCCTAATCCTATTCCAGTTGTAGTCTTATTCTAACTATTCTAATTCAATTTATTCCTATTCTACTCTGATTCTATTACATTCTATTTCATTCCATTCTGTTTTATTACAATTCATTCTATTGTATTCCATTCTATTTTATTATTTTATTCTATTATATTCA